TGTCCTTTGGCACAAGTAAACCACATGTTTACGTCGAAGGAAAGACGAGAAGGGCGTTTGGAAGTCCGTAGGCTACTGCCAGTATGGCTCATCCCATTTACATTGCGAATTTCGTTAAGGATGACATGTCCTGATGTCATATTCCTGTCCTGGTCTAGGATATTGAGAAGTCTGGGTACTTCGGTCGATTCTGTTGCTCCTTCCCTCAATACTTCGGCCAAGTCACACATGATCGTCACTCGATTCATCTCATTCCAGAGATCGTTTGCGCGTTGATCTACGAGCACATTCGGTGACGACTCGCTATGCCTGTGCAGTTCCTCTGTTGATACCTGGAGAAGTTCATGAAGCTTGTTCAAAAATGGCCGGTTTATCATTTTTCTACTCTCTACCAATGCCCCAAATTGCGTTGAGTAGATCGCTGTTGACGATTGGAGTGACAAAATTTGAATGGTTTGTCTCGCCGACATGACGGCTAAGTTGACTTCATGGAGGAGGTGTTTGTCTTCATTGCTATTGCGAGCATCCTGTAGCTTTTCCACGATTCGCGGCTTAATCGCTGAAGATTCTCTCAGGATATTCCGGTAGCGACGACTTAACTGAATGGGTTTTTCGCATCTTGGACAGGTTTTTACCTTTAAAATGAAACAAAATAAAAACCAATATTAATTTCAGTGTCACAGTAATCAATTAACACCAAAGTGACTGAAACATCAACAAATTTAGGAGTTAAAAGAATAATTCTTACTGCACGTGTTATATGAATTAGGCCAAATCCTTGTTAGTCTACCTTTAACACATTTACACATGCATGTACTTTTTAGATTAGAGGTGTGTCGTAATCAACGATAAAGCGACCCAAATTCAAAAGACAAATTAATTAATAATTAATACAAACAAATGTTGTAGTATTACCGATAATTTGGTAAATGTTCCTGCACCGTCGGGTTGTGTGCTTAGTCCAAGGAACTTGTCAAGCTCTCCTACCTCAAAGTAATGTCCACAGTCTTCTAGTTGAATGTACCTTTAGACGTAGCAAAAGAAATTTTGAAATGTGTAAAAGCACGGATCTAGCTCTGCTGTTGGCATATTCTCATATAGTTTTAAGGAATGGTTTTTAATGGTTCTAATTCTTTTCCAATACTTTAATTTTATCCTCCAAGGAGCATGAAGAGCAATATGAATCTAGACGAATTATCGAAGTACTGCAATGATATCTTATTCCATTGACATTCAATAGTCTTTCTTGTACAGAGGCATGTAGTGGTAATGATGAAATTAAGCAGGAAATTTACAAGGGGGTTCCTCTATATTGTGAAATGCAGTTTCTATGAAAAAGGTAGCAATTAGAATATTCAACGTCATCTCTTAACATATGTGTTGTATGTTGTAGGCGTCTTCCTTGATTTATTTGCTAAAAGGATGGTTCTATAAAATTCAGCTCACCTTGCCGTCTGGATATCTTCGGTCCCAAAGAAACGTTGCTCCAAATCTTCTTCGTCGCAGATGCGACATTTATTGGGACAGATCTCACCACATAAGCCGATGCAAGGGTGACCACATTTCCGTTTCTTTGGACAGGGCTTGTTGCATGGGGGTCTGTCACAAGGTTCGCAGCACAACGTCTTACACTCGTAATGCTTACATTTCCAGTTGCATCGTTTCGTACAAACATCACATGGTTCACTGCACGGATGCTTGCACTGCGAGTGACGACAACGCCGAGGACATTTCTTTTCACATGAAAGACATGGTGCATCGCAATTGAGGGCGCATTCATGTCCGCACACCAGCTTTTTCTTACACGTCTCAATGCAGGGGTGGTGATAACGACCTTGTGAGCATTTTCCACAGGTCCCTTTGCACTTGTGACCACACATCAAGATCTCCTCACAGGCGATGTAGCATGCGTCGCTTTCATCACAACATTTAACGGTTACCTTATGACCACATGGCCAGTCTTCTCTGGTGATCATCTCTGTGCAGTTCTCAGTGCAATCCACCCCACACCTTTGCTTGCAAGTGTGGTCACATGGAAGCTGCTTACCGCACTTTGCTTCGCATACTACTGTTTCAACTTCGGTCGAACACTTCATCTCAAATTTATGACGGCAAAGCAAGGTTTTCTCTACAAGTTCGGAACATTTACTGTTATGGCAGCACTTCTCCATGATTTCGTGTCCACATGAACGATTTTTTCTGGTAATTGTATTGCACCTAAAATTGTCAATACTTTCGGAACAGAGAAGAGCATGCATATGTCCACATGGTAGGGTTTTCTCAACATTTTCCTCGCATCTGATGTTCTTTGGATCTTTATGGCACGCTGCTTGGCAGGTATGGTTACATCCCAGAACTTGTAAGACTATCTCATCACATCGACCACTTCCATTACATTTCTCTGTCTTTCTGTGGCCGCACTGCAGTTCCTTGTTGATGATGACCTCGCACTCTTTTTCAAGTCCCGCCGTTGACATGTGGCAAGGAAGAGATTGGACGTGTGAGCAACTTAAGGTTTTGTCAACCTTTTCCTCGCACATAATGACCTGAATGTCGGTATTACACTCCCTTTTGCAGACATGACGGCAGGGCAGAATCTTCTCCACAATGACTGAACAAGAGGTCGAGCAAAGATCTGAACATAGCATTGGACATTTGTGGTTTTTCTCACAGATAACCTCGGAGCAAGGAGCCTTGCACTTGTAGACGAGATGATTTAGATCCGCTGAGTGACATTTTAATCGACAAACGTGTCCACAATCAAGCCTGGTATCACAGTCTCTACTACATCCTCCTAGTGGTACCTTCTTGAAGTCATCGGCAGTTTTCACCGCTGTCTTCTCTTCTGGATGATTGGTGCATTGCAGCGTAAGGGAATCTCCGATAGATCCCATTGACTCTAGATCTTTCACTATTCCCTTCCATAGCTTACTCTTTTCTGCAAAGAGGGTGAAGTTTCCAACGCAGTAGAGCCCTTTCTTTGCTCTTGACAATGAGACACAGACTCGGTTCGAAATCCCCAAGAATCCAATGCGCCCATGATTGTTGCTCCTCACAAATGACAGAAGAATGATATCATTCTCTTCACCCTGGTAGCTGTCTATTGAGGTAACTTTGACTCCCTCAAAATTGCTACGATCCATCATGTGTTTGATTTTCAGTAGCTGACCTGTATAAGCTGTGAGGATTGTAACCTTATCAGGTTCATACCCCTGCTGCAGGAAGTATTTACACAACGCTACTACGAGTCTGGCTTCATGGAGATTGTAGTGACTCTGTGTATCTTCCATTTCATCTTCTGGTTCCGCGTGATCTAGAAAGAAGATATCTTTTTGAACTGCTTTCAAACTTTCGTATTGCTTCACCGTTTCATGGTCGCGAAGGTTGCTGTAGAAGTGCCTTCTCATCAGATTCGACAGTTCGATACGCATCCGATGTTGCAGCTCAAGCTGTGAGTAAGGAAATTCATTGTTGATAAGTCTTTCAAACAATGAAACGTCCAGATGATACTTCTTGGCCAGGTGGTACACGTTCGGTTTTGGTCGAAGTTGTTGATGATCTCCAATGAGAATGAGCTGTTGACAGAATGCATTTAATGCCGTAATGATGTGTGCCTCCAGTACCTCAGCTGCCTCCTCAACTACTACAATCTTTGGCCGGACTCTCTGCAAAACCTGCTGGTGATTAGCTGCTCCAGTTGTAGTCATACCGATTATAGTTGCCTGTCGAAGGATTTGGTATTTCTCTACGTCTTTAGCTTCACCAAGCTGACCACAAGATTTCTTGAATTGGAGTTCATAGGCTGGCAGTTTTCCTTTCAACTGTTGAAGGTAGTTATGCAACCAAATATGGTAGAGTGCCCAGCGGTCATTTGGACACATACTCCAAATATCCATTACTGATTGAAGAGCACCTGGATCGAGAACATCTTTGCCAGACATCTTCCTTTGGATGAACCTCCGCAAGATACCGTCCTCTGCTTTGTTCAGATCATTTAAGTCAAGGCCTAGGAAAGGGTAGTCTTCGTCTTCCTCTTCATCAGAATCTTCCTTACCATATTCGCCATCAATCATTCTTTCTGACTCGATGGCACTTCGTTCGGATTCTACCTTAACTGTTGCTTCATTTGGCACAGGATCAGGCTTTGTGCTTTCTATCCTCTCTTCTCCTTGCTGTTTATTTCTCTGTTCTAGTGTATCCTGTCTTGCTTGCTGGTTCCAATCCCTGTCATATTCACATTCACAGAGAAGCCACTCTACGAGCCAGGAGTTTAACTGTTTCAAATGAGAAAGACGCAGGAGGCTGTTGTAATGCTGCCATGACATGAACGGGCCTAGTTCGTACTCGTTGATGATCCCATTTCTTGCACCCTCTATTCTGGCTTGCGTTCTCTCCACACGTCTCTTTGTAGCGTCAACTTCTTTCTTGACATGACGAATCCTTCGTTGAACGTACTCTTCACCATGTAGTCCCCTCCGACCAACCATCCGTTTAAGGTTCAACGACTGCAACCGCTCACTCTTGCTACGGCCTCCAACTCGTACGATGCCAGAGCAATTTAATGTTAAGATCCCCTCCAGAAATTGATCCAGTGCATGATTTGTGCAGCACACGAGTAATATTGGGCTAGGTTTTTCTTCACTTGACCAGATTTCTCTGTTGAGGAGAAGGGTCTCTACAATTTTCAGACCTATGAAAGTCTTGCCAGTACCTGGGGGACCCTGTATGACAGAAAGTTCTTTGGTGAGAGCAGTCTTGGCAGCTTCATATTGTGATTGGTCGAGCTGTACATCGTCAATATCAGGCCAAGCACCATCGCCAGGCACATCAACTAGTGGAGAGCATCGTGGTATGCCTTTCAGCAGAGGTGAGATATCAATACTACATGGAATTTCACCGTCTTCAGTTACCATCAAATCTTGGAGATACCTGGGTGGCTTTACATCATGGAACATGCTCAAGGTGTATTGGGAAAACGGCAAGCATGGGCCAGACATTCGCTAGAGACCCAGGAGAACTGGGCGATAAGCTCCAAAGAAGACAGAGGACTCTGCCATCACAAAATTCTTATTATGTAGACATGATGCATCTTCTTGGTCGACCAATGCTATAGCTACCATTCCCTTCTCTAATTCTTCTACGTCCCGTTTGGCCACTGTAGCAAATACGTAGGACTTAAAATCATCCGTTGATAGGATGAGCAATGATCCGTACATGAGTCGTTTTGTCGTTTGCCATCGGACACGAGGTAACTTCTTAAAAGCCATGTAATGTGAAATTCCGGAGAAATCACGGACAGATTTTACGTAGTGGGCTTCCTCGTAGATTCGCACATCCTGAAGTTTGGCCCTTCTTTCAGGGTTCGCCTTCTTGAAAGTTAAGTACTCTGATATCCCATTGCGAAGAGGGTAGACGAAGTCTTCTTTCAGGAGTCTGAACTGAACATCCAGGTAGTGGTCTGCATCGGCATATACACCGCTAGTCAGATGAGGGCGGAGAAACGGCTTATATCCGGGTTGCAATTCCTTGACAGTGGGAAGAATGTCTTGCTGGCGGAAGTCGTCAGGAGGTGGGTTCTTAGAAATGCGGTCCATCTGTCTCTTTCTTTCCCTTTCTTTTTCAATGTCCTCATTGTGACTACTCAACGACTTTATTGACTCCATGATGTCATCACGTTTGTCGTCTTCATCCATGTCTGCTACAGCATCGGAGATGAGAGTGACTGCAACTTTGAGATCTGAAGCACGGCTTGGCAAACTTTGCATGGCTGAGTGGAAGACAGTGATGACATTCTTCAAAAGGTTTAACCGCCTTGCGTCGATGTTCTCTCTTGGACGCCTGAGATTGGTCAAAAACGTGAGTAAATGCTGACGACAGAGTTTGGACTCGAGGGCCATTGTCAGGAGCATGATCACTGTTTGTTCTGTACCTAGAGCTCCGCAAATAAATGCTAGAGCCCCCCAAAGACGATGCTGTTGTACCTCATCCATCGAGTCTTCATTGAGACTGGCTTGAAGGCTTCCTTTTAGGGACCCAAGTTCTGTAGCGGCCTCGGAAGGGTCTTTTTCAAGTATTTCGATGAGAAGTGTGGAACTTAGTGGTCTGAAGTTACTTTGGATATTTGGGTATTTTCCTTGGGTCTGTCCATATCTGAAATGGTAGAAATAAATGATGTGAATATATTTAGATTGATTCATATTCATGTCACGAAGAGCTATTTTTTTCTTACTTTTACCTACCGCCTTTCATACATTTCAAGACTGACACAAAGTTTAAGTGTTATTTTTTTCAACTCACCGTTAAACAAATGTGTCAACTCGCTGGAAAAAGTACTGAATACAACATTTACGGGGATTTGTATGTACAATTTCTACTAAACTGACTAATTTCTACTTTATTACAAGTAGGTCTAGGTGTCGTCATAAACAAATATTTTAACCTATTTACCTGTTACAAAAATATTCATTGCAACGTATTATAATGTGTAAAAGAATATCGGATCATAGAGGCCTAAGGAAGCAAAACATGCAAAGCGATCTATCTTGAAGAAAGGAAGTGAATCCTTTTCAGCAATGTTACTCACTCCTTTAAGATTTTGTACTTTACCTAGTATTTTCCCGTGTCCGATAGCCTTCTCTTCTAGATCTAGCTGCGTTCTGAGCCACGTGGTCCCCTCTTTGGCAGCGGCCTCTAGGCCGAACGCCTCGCTGTCCGTCGTGTTGCCTGTCGTAGCGCTGGCGGAATGGGCCTCCTCTGTTACTGCCTCTTTGGCCTCCAACTTCCCTTCCAGCTCCTCTCTCTCCATCATGTCCCCTTCCTCTCGCTCCTTCTGTGTCCCTTCCTTTTCGGAAGTTATCTCCCCTGAATCTTTTAGCCTTAATGGCGTCTTCTCTATCACGACTTACTTTCCTCCTCTTCTGTTTTCCCCACATGACGTTATCTCCACCCGTTACACCTCCTCTGCCTTGTCCTCTGGTCCCATCCCTTCGAAATCCACTTCGTCTACTCTTCTCACGGTCATCTCTCGAGTTAGGACGATACGCAAAACGGCTTCCGTTGTCATCATCATCATAACCCCACATCTTTGTCAGCTTCGAGACATCTAGAATATACAGAGAAACATATGATTACGTTATATAAGAAAATATGAATTAGGTTATATAAACATATTTTGTTATTTTTTAATTAAATTTATTTATTGGTTTATATATCTTTATAAACAAACAAACTCATCCCCATTAATGTGACATTGACATTACCTTTGGGGGGGGGGCAATAGGGTACATATGCTTGCGTAGGATTTTTTTTTTTATTCATAGGTTGCATGCTGAATGCATAGAACATCAGAATAAATTTGATATAGGAGGGGCTGCAAAGTTTAAATTGGTGAACAAATGAAAAAGGAAGAGAGTGACTGGCAAAGAAAGATTAAGAAAGGAGAAGAGCGCTGGTATTTTAAATGCCATAATCGCCATACGTGTCGATGTGACATGGCAGAGGTACATGCAGGGGCGTCACCAAAGGGGGGTGTGGAGGTGCGACACCCCCACCTGTCAGGATATTGCCAGTAAAATTGCGCTGCCGTCGGGAAAAGAGAGAAAAGGGGGAGAGGGAAAAGAGAGGGAAAGGGAAAGAAAAGAAAAGAAAAAAGAAAAGGAAAAGAAAAGAAGGAAAGGAAAAGAAAGGAAAGAAAGGGAAGAAAAGAGAAGAAAGAAAGAGAAAAAAAGAGGGAGGAGAGGAAAGAAAGGAAAAGAAAGAAAAGAAAGAAACGGAAAAAAGAAGGAAAATGAAAAAGGGAAACAAAATAAACAGGGGATAAAAGCAAGGAGAGAGAGGGGAGGTAAGAGCCTGAGAGAAAAGGAGTGGGAGTAAAAGAGAGAGGGGGTTGTTGGGTGGAGTCGTCTCGTCGAGGGAGCAACAAAGACACGGATAAATATGTTGCTGTGTCGGGTCAGCTGTGTCGGTTTTCTTGGTCGATATATCAATGCAGAAGTTTGAAGTCGGTGAGATGTATATTTTCGGTCAGCCGACAAGTTTTTTTCCCTACGAACTGTGACTTTGTATCCTCTGTGACGACTGTGAGAGTGACTACAACTACAATACTTGTATTTTCTCAAAGTTTCACATTCCTATAATATCAGCTAAAGAAATCAGAGGTTTAAAATTTTCGGGGAAACTAAATTCAAACAAAGATTAAGAGTCAACAACGGTACGATGAATCGTCTTCCTTTCTCTATAATATTTTGATGAAACGCCAAAAATTACGCGCTTCGCGCGAGAGGGGGAAACTGAATTCAGACAAATATGGCTTATTAAGAGTCGAAAACGGTACAACGAATCGTCTTCTTTCTCTATATTTTGATGGAAAAAAAAAGGAAAAAATTCCGCGCTTCAAGCGGGAGGGGAAAACGACATTTAGACGACTCGAGAACGGTACAACGAATCGTCTTCTTTCTATAATAATTAAATCAAACGTCTAAGCTTTTCGCGCTTCGCGCGAAGAGGAGGAAACTGAATTCAGACAAGGGTTAAGGGTCAAAAACGGTACAACGAATCGTCTGCTTTCTCTAATAGTTTAAGGAAACGTCAAAGCTTTCGCGCTAAAGGGAGAAACTGAATTCAGACAATTAGGGCTTATTTAAGAGTCGAAAACGGTACAACTTTCTCTAATAATTTAATGAAACGCTAGAAACTTACGCGCTTCGCGCGGCAGGGGGAGAACTGAATTAAGATAAGGAACAGTATTCGACTGAATTCAGTCGAGAAGAGTACACCGAATCGTCTGCTTTTTCTCATAATTTAATGAAACGTCAAAGCTTTCGCGCTTCGCGCGGAGGGAGGGGGGGAGCTTCATTCAGCAATGATTAACAGTCGAAAACGGTACAATAAATCGTCTTCTTTTCCTAATATTTTAAGGAAACGTCTAAGCTTCCGCGCTTCGCGCGCTCTTTAAGTGATTCTCTGTTCACTACCGCCCTCCCTAAAATAAGATCCTAGCTGCGCGCCTGCATTGGAATATATAGCTATGATGCTGACTAAGTTGACGAAATAATTCGTATATTTATGTTGTCGACGAAAATGACAATTTGCGCATACGCAAGTCCTATAGATAGTCCATAGAAAAAACAATTTAGCCTTCTGCCCCGGGTTTATAGGGTTAAATTTGTAGATATTGGGACATTTAATTTTGTCGGTAATTGGTGGCTAGTTTTGTCGGTAATCGTTGGCCTCTACACCCCTCCCCCCCCCCCTCCCCCCCCCCCCCACCCCCCTCCCTGGGAAAAAGGTCTAGCGACGCCCCTGGGTACATGATGGCAAGTCCTAAAAGATACTGGCTAAATGAACATATTATATGTAAATATTGATTATTCAGTGCGTATCAAGGAAAAGTATACCCAATTTTAATAGCTTATAATGAAAAAGTCGTTGTCAATGTGACTTTGGAATCTATTTTCACGGTAAAGAGTTTTATGATACCCTATGCATATTTTTCCTGCCACTGTTGACAGAGCATCAAGTACCGTCAAAATCTCCTTGTACCAAGGTTAGAAGGTTACACCGAAAGTGCGTCTATTCATATACATGTGTTACACTGTTATCCAAGTCATTTTAAAAGTTCTATTCTGTTTTATTTGTTTTTGATTCATTGTGTAATGTGATTGAATATATCTTAGCTTTCATAGGATAACCTTTCAATTATCTTTTACAGCCTATTGTCTCGTCATATTTTCATGCACTTCTTACTTGCCCATTACTTCATTTCAGGTGCATACGATGCATAAGGTATCCTCAAAGATTCAGTAAAACGCAAGAAATAAATATGATATCTACAAAAGCTATTGACAAAAGAAGATTAGTCGGGGGTGTAAGGGATATTTGTGTTCAGATTGTTCCAAAAGCACCAAATTTGGCCAAAATGTTGACTATGACATATTATCTATATTGTGTAATTTTACTATTTCATGAGACAGGCATTTTGATTTTACCAAAATCGTGACACCAGGGGGCACCCTTCTTGACACCAAATAGCTGAAATAACAACAGAACTGCATTCTCTATACCTGTTAACCCCATATTTATAGCAAATTTCATTATTCTAGAGCTTCTAGATTTAAAAAAATACAAATGAATTGAAGCTCATCTGCATATTGCTCCGGTTGTCTCATTTTCGCTCACTGGACGTTTATAGCAGACGACAATCGGCGGATTATACGACACTTGGTAGTGAATTTGTATGTGAAATTGCTTTGCTATATATAAAATACAAGAACATTTTCCATATCTTTAAACTATCATTAATATCTGATGATTAAACAGTTATTAAAATAAACCTACCAAACTACAAAATACAATGAAATACTTCACTTAAAGTAGGGGAGTTTGATGTGGTGCACGGGGTGATGCACAATTGCACCCCTCTGTAAATAATCGTAAATAATCGTAACGTACCCGGGTAGGTAGCATCCCACGTAAACTTTATCCATTTTGGATGACTCAATTACAAGACTTGCCTTAAACAAGGAGTGCGAGAAGAGAATAAGATAATGTTTGCTTGTAAATGATTCTTTTCTTTTTTTTAGTCTTAGGTGGCATTATAACTTTTCTATTCAAGGGCTCAAAATCAGTGAGAATAAATTGGTAAAAGAGGATTTAGACGACACTCGATTGTTAATCCATGATTATTGTTTGACTTTATACTCTCATTTAATTGGTTATGAAGCTGATAGTTTTAGGGGTATACAAGTTAATTATGCCTGGTAATTGCATACAAGCTACTATGAGCTCAGGATGAGCAGAGGATTGGGCTTATGTCTTTAAAATGACAGAATAATATAAACATAAAACGGACTTAGTTATTTATCCATACAGTAGTACCAGTGTAATGGTTTGCCAAAAAATCTAGTCAACTAGCAATAATTCTGGACAACCTCAAATATTTTGTATTTAGGTGAGGCGTCAAAAATATCGATACCAGCAGGCTGCCGCCTCACGTATTGGCGCATCGAGGCTGCAATTACGGCCGAAGCCTGGCTGGGGCAATTATTTTTCACTTATTAGCCCAGCCGGCTTGCGCCAGGCTGGGATCTGAGGCTCGGTTTCCATTCGAAAGGCGGCAGCCGGCGCATGCTTTTGAATGCCATTTCCTACCGCCAGCGGTAGCCGGCTGAGCTTATTTAAAAAATGCAGCCAGGACGCACAAGTGCAGTTAGCTGCCGCTGGCTGGTAAATTTATTTTTGACGCCTCGCCTTATCTACTTTCCTTTTATTCTACGTTATTTCCAGGAACACGAAGAATTACATCAATACAACAGAATATAAGAAAACGAATTAAAATTACAAATACAATAACAACTAATTCTCATTAGAATATTGTTCACTGTCTACAAAAATAAATAAAAATTAAGATGACAAAAAAAAAACATACAGACGTGAAATATGTATTTTTTAAACAATTGAATATTAACTATCAAGTGTTAAGTACATACCCAACACATTTCCAGTGATTTGCTTACGCTATTACGCACGACCAGTATTCAACATTTTAAGTAACACTGCCGAGAGACTACATCATTGGTGATTTGGAGTCGATTGGAATAGGGTCATCGATGTTTCCGGTGGGGATTTTCCACAGCCATGAAATCCAATCATAATGCATCGATCTGGGCTTAATTAGGATAACCAAAACCCACACTCCTCCTTATAAAAAGTTAAAAGCATGTTAGTAAAACATATTGACAGTTTCCGCATAAAATACTCTCAGGCCCGAATTCTCCAAGAAGGTTTGTAGACAAACCTAGGTTTATGTGCGTCATATGACGCGTTTTGACGCGTTTCAGACCAAGGTCTGTTTCGAAACGCGTCATATGACACACATAAACCTAGGTTTGTCGACAAATCCCTTTGTACATTCGGGCCTGAAAGATGCGGTTATGATTGATAAACACGAAAAGCAAACGGCTCCAAAACAAATTAAAGTATAGGGAGCACGTGCTCCACGTACCACACCCCTTCGAACGGCTAAATCGGAAGAGGGTCACAGAGAGAGAGAGAGATGGTTAAAAGAGGGGGAAAGTGATGATGA